CTCTTTATTGTGGTTCCTTTTGTGAGAAACGATATGAAGAGTTGTTTTGGCAGCTTGCTCACTCTCTCTCTCACAGGCTGGTGCAAAACATGTCTATGCTGTTGAAGCGTCTGAAATGGCAGAATATGCGCGTAAACTTATTGCTGGGAATCCAATACTTAGTCAAAGAATTACTGTGAGTGCTTGTCTTGGCATTTGATTTGTCGGTGAGAATCATTATTAGCTGTTATATAATACAATTGGAAGTTAATATTCCCATCTATATTATAATAGGTAATCAAGGGCAAAGTTGAAGAAGTTGAATTACCTGAGAAAGCTGACATCTTGATATCTGAGCCTATGGGTAAGTTCACTTTGTCATACTCGAAAGGAGATCTAGTAGATGAGGTTCCTGGTTCTTGTCATTGCAATGCCATACTGAATGACTAGTGGTCTGAGATGGAAGAGATGAATTTCAAAACTGTTAATTGTCTGCTTTTTATGCATTGACGTTCATCATCTTCATTTTCCAAGTCCCTTTAGAAGTTTCCTCTGTCTTCATTTTGGGTCTTCAGCATGTACCTTGAATTTGTTTACACACAGCCCCTTCTCACCAAAAGAAAAGACCAAAAAGAAAAAAAAGGGAAAAAATTGATTGCTGAGTTGTGGCTGAGGAGTTTGGCATCTTTTCTTTTTCATACTTGTTATTTTAATTTTTTTTTTTTTTGCAGATTCCTTTCCTCTCCTATTGCCTTTAGCTGACTAGTCTGCATTTTTTAGTCATGAATGTTGTTATCGTAATGCATGGGACGGCAGCATGCTCCTTTTTGTTCACCCCTGTGCGTGTGTGTGTGTCTCCCCCCAGCAGGGCGGTGAAGTTAAAGTTTGATTGCCCTTGTCAAATAAATCTTATGTTATTACTTCCCATCCAGCGCATGCAATACTTGAGGCACATGTGGCCTTTTTCTTTATTGGGCTATTGTGATGAATATTAATATGTTTACCATCTATTTGACGAGAAGGATTCCCTCATGCAGGCACTTTGCTGGTCAATGAGAGAATGCTCGAGTCCTATGTGATTGCAAGAGACCGTTTCCTTGTTCCAAATGGAAAAATGTTCCCTGCAGTGGGAAGGTAATTTCAGTTTGTAAAAGCAGTGTTCTAGAGACTATTACAACCAAGGCACTCTTTACTTGTCATTCTATCTAAAAACTAAATTTTCTTCCCTCCCCCACCCAAAAAGAAAAAATAAGAAGCATTTTTAGGTTAACAAAATCAGTTAGCAGATTTATGGGTAGAGATACAATTTAACTGCCTTAATATGAGTATATTTTGTTCACATTTTGTCCTAGACAAACGGAAAGGTCAAATCTTGGTTCAAATGTTTACTTATTCTTGATTTACTGCACGACATTCTAGCAAATGAATTTCAAAAGAAGCATCAACTATTTTTTAATTTGCGAGAACTTTGTTTTTGTTGCTTTCTTTTCTTTACTAAGCATAGTCATCTGCTGCTGCTAAGCAACACACATGATTTTGTTCACATTTTGTCCTAGACAAATGGAAAGGTCAAATCTTGGTTCAAATGTTTACTTATTCTTGATTTACTGCACGACATTCTAGCAAATGAATTTCAAAAGAAGCATCAACTATTTCTTAATTTGCGAGAACTTTGTTTTTGTTGCTTTCTTTTCTTTACTAAGCATAGTCATCTGCTGCTGCTAAGCAACACACATTATCCATGTAATCCGAAGTTTTGTCAAATATGTTGAGATAGACCTTTTCCAGCCATATGTACCCATTTTCTAGCATGTTAAGGCCTTCTAGGTCTCTGTTTACCTCAGAGGTTGATGAGGCTTCTTTTCTCATCCAGTGTAGCAGTATGATTGCTTGACTTGTTTGCTTTTGCAGAATACACATGGCTCCTTTCAGTGATGAATATTTATACATAGAAATTGCGAATAAGGTATACATTTGAGGTGTATTGTTACCTACTTGCTCATTACTGGGTGAACCCCCTGGGGGGGGGGGTGGGGGGGAATACAAAAAGTCTGTAATTTTTTCGAAGTGGTCCTAGTGTCATGGTTAATTTTACTGTCCTTTGACAACACATACCTTACCATGAATTTCCATTCATTTCTTGTCTTCTAGGCTCTCTTTTGGCAGCAGCAAAACTATTATGGTGTTAATTTGACATCGTTACATGGATCTGCATTCCAAGGATACTTTTCACAGGTCTAACTTTTTTATTTCTTAGAGTATTGAATTTGGACTTATTTATGGTTTATCTTGTTGATTTTCCTTTTTTACTCAACTGTTTTTTTGATGTTCTGAGGAGGGTGTTTTGAACACCAATACAAGTTAGAGCTATGTTATAAATGTAGAAATGTCTGATCAATATTAACATGTCTATGTTATTAAAGAACCTCTCAAGAGTATATGATTTTGGACTTTGTTATGGTTTGCCTTTAGCAGAATTTGTTGCAGGTTCTTTGCTATTTAATTTCCTATAACCTCTGTGACTAGTTGGAAAACTTTTAGCTGATAATCTTCAAATCAAAATGAAGGAAGGGGTTTTGGAAATAGAAGTGCATTTTCAGTGAACAATGTCAAGTAAAAGGAGGTGATGAGAAAAGCTTGCATTCATGATCAATGTGTGCTATATCTTAGCTTGTGCAAAATTTTCTGTAGACTCAAAATATGTTACATTAACTTCAGCCATCCTATTGGACTTGCTGGTTTGGTGGGACTCATAAACATCTGCATTTTTCTTCCAAGTCTTGAGAAGAAATTTTTATTTTTGTTCTCGTCCATCTCTGAAAATTTTTTCCTGTCACTTCTCTGCCCTATTTTGTAGTAAACTATCCATCAGTCTCCCTTTCTTTATTATTGGTAAACCCTCTATTTGTCTTTTCTTTGGAGAGAATAGGTTTTTAATTTTTGCCTTATCAATTATGTGCTTTCTTCTACTCACAACCTGCATCCTGTTTGCTACAGCCTGTGGTTGATGCTTTTGATCCAAGGTTATTAGTGGCTCCTGCAATCTCTCATGTGATAAACTTCACTTCAATCAAGGTACTAGTAAAATCTCTGCTGCTGCAAGTTACGTGCTCTTTACCAAGCAATGGTCCAGTCGTACCCCCAATTTCTTTCAATTTAATTAGGTGAAGAAGGGTCCTGTTATACCTTGAATATGCTGGGGTGTTTACATGAAGGAAGAAAAATTGGCTTTGATTTGATCCCTGATTGGCATCATGAGGATAATGTAAAATCTCAATCGTATTTCAGGAGGAAGAATTATATGACATAGACATCCCTTTAAAATTTGTGTCTTCTGTTGGCACTCGAATTCATGGTTTGGCTTGCTGGTTTGATGTACTATTTAATGGAAGGTAAGCCATTCCGTTTTTGTCTCTTCAGTGGTCATTCTAGTTATTGATTGCATTTTAAAGCAATTGTGTAAAATTTCTTTGCCTGCAGCACTGTTCAGAGGTGGCTGAGCACAGCACCTGGCTCACCTACCACCCACTGGTACCAGCTACGTTGTGTTTTATCTCAGCCAATTTATGTCATGCCAGGACAAGAAATAACTGGTCGACTTCACTTGGCTGCCCATACTGCTCAGAGCTATACAATTCACCTGACATTATCTGGTTAGACATTATAGTTCCTTCTACAATTTACTTGACTTGGACTTGTGATAATTTTAGTTTCTCTTAGTTGCCAATGTTACCATATTTTTGTTAGTAAAAGAAAAAACTCTATTGGTGTCATTAATAGCTAAGATGTGGGGCCCTGGTGCTGAACAAGGTGGAATACTCCAAACTTCAACGGGCAAACTTGATCTAAAAGAACCCTATTACCGGATGTCTCAACCCCAGGTCTGCCCTGCGGCCCAAGACCAACAATCGCAGCAATTGTTGCAAACACAGGTATTGACTGGCATCATGTAAAACCCTAGTTTATCTTCTTTGATTTTCTGATATAGTGATTAAGAATTGAACAATTGCAATACATGGCTTCTCCTTCGCAGTATGGTATACATGGACTTTTAGGACATGACCTTTCAGGATAGAAGCGTAATTGGTATCCCGCTTGTTGTGAGAGTGCTACTGTTGTAAAGCAAATGAAAACTGGTGTTAGTAGCATGCCGCTTCCCCCCTCCTCTCTTCCTTTTGCCCCCATCATTTCTTGTTGATTTATGAGCACTAGTTGGCTTTGTTATGCAATGGAAGGAAAAATGGCTTAGTGATTCTGGTACTCTGGTCCAAAATGGTCTCCTCTCCTTTGATTATGCTTTGCGACTTGTTTCTGGTTTTATTGGGGTCATGGCGGTGGTGGGATGCCGTAATTCTTTTTTCTCGATGATGACTCGTAACTTACGCGGCTTATCCTTGGTAGGATATACCAATATTATCCCAAGATGAAGATGGAGGATCAGACTTGATGCAACAACCATTTCAAGAATCTGGTGCTGAGTTCAATTCTCTTTGAAGCCATTGGTTGGTGCCGAGCTCCCATACGTGTAACATTAAGCCATTTGGCCAAACAATAGTGGAAGAGTCTTAATCTAGTCACGTAGTTTTAACCGATGGCTTTTCCATCTGTGCCTGTAAATTAAAAAAAAAAAATACAAAGATTTACTTCATATTCTTCAAGTGGTGGCAGATATTTTACAACTAAATCGCCTCGTTGAAAATTACTGAGTCAGGCTTAGAGCTAGTTCTTCTATAGTGACTTTTCTTTTAATAGTGACGTTTCATTGGAATTGCGTCTCTTTCCGCGCAGTGGCGCGGGTAGACGCGGGTAATTTGCTCAAGTTAATTTTTGGTAATAAAAAGAAGAATTATTTAGTTTATTTCCTTAAATTTGCTGAAACAAAGATTGTTGAATCAAAATCCCTCGGCTAAGATTCTTTTTTATGTTTTGAAGGGTGCAAAATTTCTTCCACAAAACTTCCAGATTCTCGAAGCAAAGATTATTCGATAGGCGGTACCATAGGGGGGTCAAAGGAAAAAAAAAAAAAGAAAAGAAAAAGTAGTATTAGCAGTGAATAAAAATTCTGCAGCAGAGAGCTGCAAGCAATAGCATGAATAGGATACAAGACAAAGTTGCCATTCCCCAGGTCTAATCTCATTCGTGGCCGTCAATGAAGCAGGCGACAGGCAAGGCAACCCTCCGTTGGTTTTCCACTGATAAATCCCTTGTCCTCGTCTTTTCTGTAGTTTCAACCCGTCACCAGGTGTCGTATGATACTGGTTACTACTCCTCGCATGTCTGACGCAGAGCACAAACACGCCTCCCTCTCTGTAGCTTGTTTCTCATTTCATTCTATTGAACATTTGTTTCTCAAACCCCAGTAGATGCACAAGATCAAACATTTGATCATAAACCACCCAAAATAATTACTGGGACTAAATTTAACGAATAACTCTAGCAACTGCAACATGGTAAATGATGAGTTCACACAAAAGAATTTCTTTGGGGCCAGTCCATTAAACAGCAGAACTTAATCAGAAAACTGCCTTGACCAAATGTGCCATAGGACCGATCACCCCATCTAACTCTTTCCTTGAGCGTTCTATCAAGTTCGGGGGTCATCTCTGCGAGGGATTAAAAAACATAAAATAAATCAGGCAGGCGCGCAAGAGACGATTAGTAGTTTTTGTGAAAATCTAGATAAAAAAAATTTAAGCAATCATTCTCCACATTGGCTGAGTAACCATATGCGAGAAGAAGAAACGTGCTGTTGAGGATGCATATCTTAGCAAGTTGCTCTATGCATTGATCAGATTCTTGATGCAATGATTCATGTACTTTTTTTTTTTTTTTTTTTATAGTACTAACTAATACATGCAAATTAAAACAACCAGAAAAAAGAAAATCTTTCTTCTTGTGTACCTGCTTCTTGCAAACAGTTCGTCTTTCTCAGCTTCTAATTCCTGCATCCTTGCTTCAGCGTCTCGTTTCTCAGCCAACCCCTTGCCCCATTCCAATTTCACTTCCTGATAAGAGAAAATTGTAAATGGCTGAGGAGAAGTCAAGTCGGGAAAGATGGACAATGCGTATACTTGAAGAAAGAACAAGTTAAAATCATATATTAGTCTCATAAATGCCTAAGATACAGACCAGAACCTATATGTTGCCAATGAAACAAACTGCTTCCTGTTATTTATCCACAGAAAAAGCTTAGGAAAATACACTAAAACGACCACTAAACTATTAATCTAGTAAATTTTTGGCAGCTAAACTATTAAATATCTCCAATTACCATCAAAATCTTAAAGGTGTACATGTTACACTATTACGCCCATTATCAGGCGATTAAGCACACAGAAAATACCAAGTGAAAGTCACCTGATATATTTTCTGTGGTCATTTATGTCAGCATAATGGAAAACCAAAAACAGGATTAAAAAAATAAGGAAAAAGTACAGCCTCCATCCTCAGGCCCGAACAGATCCACCATTAGAAAGGGCACAGCACCAAGGTGCAACACCACAATTCCCTAAAATTCAGCTCAACGATCAATAACCAATTAAAGCAAATGTTTTCGCCCTTAAAAATAGTTGAAACACGAATTCATTACTTTCGAATTCAAAACCAATCGTGCTAATTTCTTATTTAAAGAAAAAAAAAAAACACAGCCTGTGAACCAAAATTCTGTAGCATGGATATAGAACTCGGTTCTCATCCATCACCAGCAGTAGCATTGAGTTACTCTCATCCAACTGTCCAATAGAAAAGGGAAGATGTCCTCCTTTAACTTCTTCCTCCTTCCCAAATGAAAGCACTAGCCACCCAAGATGGGACGGCTGGCATTGAAGTTGATCAATTGGATGCATTTCCATTGCTTTGCCGGCTAAGACATTGCCACCTGATATGGGTGGTGTGACATAAAATACAACCCAAATGAAAGCACTATCCTAAAACCGAAGACAGACCAAAAAGGGGCAAAAAAAAAATACTCCTAATCTAGAAATTTTCTAGCCAGACAAGTAGCTCTCGGGAATGCTTATTTGGGTCAAGATAAGAGAAATACTGAAGTCTTGCATCAAAGACCGGGTTTTTTTTCCCTGGGTAAATACACAATTCAAGTTAATCCTCCTCATCAATCGTATCACCGAGGTAAGACACATAAAAAGCAAGATAACGTGCACTAACCAATATAATTCTTTCTCTTCTTCTTTTTGGTCTGAAGCACTATCCATAGATTTAACTGTGGGAGAGCAACTAAAAATTTCAGAACCATACACAATAAATCATGAATTTCATTGCCAAATCGCTTGGTTATTTTTAAGAATTAGGTCTGTTTAAAGAAAGGAGAACCTGGAAGCTACGGTGACGGCGGTGGCAACTGAGAATGCAGTGGCGGGACCGGCGATTGCAGCTGGGAAAAGCGAAGGGTAGAAGCGGCGAATGCAACGTGGGCGGTGTATTTTGGATCTAGACTTTCAGGTGATGTTGGAAATTTGAAGTGACATAACACTGAGGATATGAGCTGCAGACTTTTATGGAGGAGCTTCTGCGTTCTGAATATGTATAAAACTACACATACGAAGACGAACGAGAAAGCTGTAACTAATTTGTGATGTTGTCGGTAGTTTTTGTTGTATTCTAATTATATATATATATATATATATTTTATTCACTGCAAAATTAAAATCTATAATCATTATAGTTTCTAATTTTGAATAATTAGTTTTTGAGATGTTTTCATATTTTAATGATATAAGTATATGTTTTAATCACTAAAAGAATTTAAAATATATAATCAGTCAACGAGCGGATTTTGCTGAATCTGATTATTTAGTTTCCATATTTAGATTCCGCAAAATCTGAAGCAACCGTCGAACTCTAAACTGAAGTCGATTTTCCAATATCAACTCCAGCTTTTAAAACTGCCGCCACTCTTCAGACTGGATTCTGACTACTTCATCTTGTACTGAATTCGAGGGCTTCGTGATTGGACAGCATCATAATGGAAGAAGCAACAATTCAATAAGTATTAAACTGAACAGCTTGTCATCGTAATGGAAGCAGATGAAACAGTTTTTGCATTAGAAATCTTGAAAATGCTTCTTGCACTGATCAGCTAAACCACTCGCAGCTTTTCTACACATCCCTTGTTTTGAATACAATTACCGGTTTTCCTAACAGCAAATGGGATGTACTACTTCCCCCAGAATTGCCTCTAAGCTGTTCAGATCAATGTATTTACATATCAATTGACACCAAAACTTGCAAGTTCCAAAATTTGGGTCTTCTTCAAAATAATGAAATCCGAGTAGCTAACTTGCGAGGCCCGATGATAGCTTGGCTGAACTGAGAGTGATTCAAATATGGCCTTCAAAAAGCTTATCAGGGCTCTCTCACCTCCCCAAGTTTTTCATTCAGCTCACAGCTGCCAGAGCAGGTTCTGGCTGACCGGCGACAACATTGTAACAGCGGCTGCAAAGTGAAGGGTGCTCATCAAAAGAGCCAACTTGAGGCGAAAAATTCCAACATCGTTCACATTTTGAGCCCGCTGCACGCGTTACGCGAATCCATACTCTGTCTTTTCCTCCAATGAGAAATTCTCCTGTGTATGATGCATCTTCAGTATGCTCGTTTTCCAGGGATGGAAGAACCTCCACCTGCATCACACAATTAATCATCATAGCTGACAAGGCAAACTCAACCCTACCCTCATTCATGTCTTGTACCTGTAGTAAACCAAACAATTATTTCTTATTTTCAAAAGGATTAAAATATAACCATCAAAGAGGTGATGTATAAAATCACTCAATAACTACTAAACCTCTCCTTTATGATGGTTATGGCCCAAGTTCTGTCTAAAACATGACTTGCAGTTTAACCAATATTTGGAATCTTACCTCCAACTCAATTCAAATCCTCTTCCAACGTATCAAGTAAACCCTTTATGAGACACAAGTCATAAAATTAAGAAAGGCTTGATTGGACAGAATTAATTTTGTCCACCTTCAGTGAGAAATTTCGTAAAAGCATTCGATGGCATCTGAAGTGCAATACCGGGTTAATCCCCAGAAAGCCTAAATTCAAATGCTTCAGAAAAGATTGAAGAAGAATATCAAGATATATAGTTGCTTATCCCAGCTTTGAAGATATTTGAGAAAATAACAAGGGCACTTTACTGTGTGTCGCTTTTGCCTTAGTCTGCGTGACCATTGGCTGTTCTAGTTTGTGTTGTGAGTCATTTGCACGTCGTGGGTTTTATACTGTAGTAAGACCTTTATTTGTTTACTGACAGCTTTTAAGTTTTGAGGGAACAAAAGAAAAAACAAGGGGAAGGACATTGTCAAACGGAGAACGACCAGGTTCCCACATAAACAAGACAAGTCTCTCAGACTGTAATGGTAACCTCCTTAATAGTGTGCCACAAGCATGGTATGGAGGACTGCACCATGGCATAACTGCCCGTGCTGCACAAGTCCAGGAGTTCCAAAAAAGGCAAATAAAAACAAAGAAAGAGAGTTCGTTAATGCATTGTCTTGGGTAAACTAAATGCAAAGAAAATCGGCTTGTTATACACATCAGACTAACTTTTACGTGATTTACTAGTTTAAATTCCAAGAGTCAGCAATTGCAAAGAGATATAAACCATGAACCAAATTACCTGAGATGTAATGAATATACGAGGTAGCGTATCAGCATCAGTTTCAGATTTACAAGCTTCTGTCAATCTTGCAGCTAGAGTATCATCTGATGTGTGGAGGTAGACCTTCGCCTCTAAACTTGAACCAATTAGCTTCCCAGATCGAGCAACCTCTAGCACTTTATTTACCTCAGTTCTTAGCTGGTCAAAGTATGTTAAGTTAGAATTAGTTGTTAAGCTCAAATCTGGTTGATAGAAAGAAAGATATGCATAAATGTGCACGTGTATACACATCTTTAGAGAGAGAGAGAGAGAGGACAAGCATTTTACTTTAGTTCATACATTTTCTCAAATCACATTGAGAAATTGTGAAGTTGACCAATGACTTGACTAAAATAACAAGCTACAAGAAATGTAGCTGTTCAGTGCCATCATTAAGCAGCAAAAAACAAGGACTTAAGGTGAGAAATGGAGCTAAACCAAGGAAATCAATACTGAAGTAAATTGAAGGCCTATAGCTTTCAATTCTTCACCACAAATCTATGCATCTATCTAATACGAAAAAGAGGGGATTAGGCAATATCATCCAAATTTGGTCATCATGACAACTTTATCTCTTAAAATGCTTTTTACTCTAGATGCACTTTTTGTCTTAAACACACAGATTTGAAACTGCAGTTACTGCACATATCTTGTAGTCTTTTTTCACAGATAAGTATTACCTCAAGAATTTTCCCCCAAAAATTGACTTCTTCGACAGGAAAAGCGAGATATCTTTCCTTAATTATAGGCCATCTTGACTCAAAGACAAATTTGGCAATTTGCCCTTCTTCATTAGTATATTGAAAAGGAAGATGTTGCCAAACATCCTCAGCCAAATGCGGGAGGATGGGCGCAACCACCTTTACTAGGGAAAGTAAGTGTTCTGCAAGGACACTTTGGCAACTCCTCCTCGTAAAGCTCGTTGTTCCCCTAAAATTAATGAAGTAAATAGAAGCCTCATTAACACATTTTAATTGCTTTTCATGAAACAGGGAGGCAGGAGAAAAATGGTATATGTCCATTGAAAGCAGAAAATATCTATGAAAATGCATAAGAATGATTGAATTTTATACCAACACACCATCATTCTATTTTTGGATCATATTTCTCATGAAAAAAAGGACAAAAAAAAAAGATAGAAAATGATCAAACCACAAATGCATGGATAAAGAATATTTGACAAATTGTAATCGCACCTCAAACAATGGACTGTAACTTTTGCACAAGAAACACGCTTTTATAACTTTTTCTAGAACATGAAGAGATCCTCAAGACATAAGCAAGTCAGCTCAACAGCATAAAGCAGGTTTTGAAAAAGAAGCTTACCCAACGTAAAGACGATCTTTGGCAACGTCAAAGTAAAAGTTTGAGAGATCGACGATCACAAAGCGTTGAATAATCTGTAAATATTTGGACAAGATAGGAAGGGAAAAGAATATGAGGCTCACTGCTACAACATCAGATAAAAAAAATTCTAAGAAACTATCTAATAAAATCGTAGAATATCACATATTTATCCACTATGCCTAATTCTGAAAGTTCCTGGTTACTGGAATCTCTATGGACTTTCTTCTTCTGTTCTGGTATTCCACTTGTTGCCAGTTATAATCACTTAGGAGGCATCCATTTGAAGGATACAAGGTAACAAGTCTAAAATGCCATTGGTCAAATGTTCCATGCCAAAATCCTTAGAAACACTGAGTAAACACATAGATCTAGCATTATGCTGCATAAAAGTAGCTTGTTATATGCATCACCCACCGGGAAAATTTCCAGCACACTTCATTGACATTTTAAGAATAGTATTTAGGAATCATTCTTTTCTCAGAGAAAACTCACTAACACGGTTAAATGCCCTCAGGACCACGTTCTGAGAATTCAAGGAATAAACTGTTCGATGGACAGAGGCAACATCTTCTAACAAAATTTTTTTGCCACACTGAAGTGAATGTTGCCTGTGACAGCCTCAACTCTTGATCAAGCATTACATTGTGTTTTCTGTGTATGTGACAGGGATCAATGACAATCTTCAGTTTGACTTTTCTTTCGTTCCAGAATTTGGAGTTTCTTTGCACAGGGAAACATTTATGGTTTCGGCATAGTTCAACAGGAGGGTTGGCTGACAGGATTGCCTCAGATGCCAGGCACAATGTCCAAATAGTTTTAATGCAGATTCTTGTATTGTTCAAAGTTTCTCATAGAAATACAGTTCAAAATTAAGAATAAGCAACAAAAACACTAGAGCAAGTAAGTGATAGACAAATAGTCATTAAAAAAATGGATGGCTTCAGAGAATCCAGGAAGTGCCCGAATCAACGATCAATGTGCGAATTTGAGCTTTTAATAATGAAAGTCAAACCACCTGATTTTATGTGATCAGACTTGTTTGTGAGTTCAAGTTGGTACTGCTCATTTAGTTTCATTTTGCATTTGAAGTCCTATAACATGGTCAACTTTGTCCATGCTGTAGCTTCAATGGGAACTATTCCCAAGTCTCTTCATCATCCAGAGAACCATCTTAGGCTTCTGTCAAGCAAGCAAGTACATTTTCTGGTATAAGGGAACTATTATCGTTGCTACTCGTATATAAGGCTCAATCACATTACTCGACAGAGGTGTTTCACATGTGGTTTTTGTCTCATTCCTGAATTAATGCAGTCAATACATCAAACAAAAGGTATACCTGAAAAATTTTGAAGAATTGATATTGTTCATAACCCTCCTTAATGTTCTTGACAACATTCTCAAGCTGAAATAATGCATGCTGATCAATCTTTGGAAGTTCATGATATGGAACAACATAATCAACCTACAAAATGAAACCGCAAATGTTAAGACTAAAAAGGCTGATGTGAATATACACATGCTACATCTGATATTTCAGTGTGTCCGTTTCAAAACAGGGAAGAAGAGATTAATGATAGAGATATTATCTTGTTG